TTGTGTTAATAACACTTCCTTTATACTTAGTTCGCTTTGTAATCAATAGATCTTTTTAAGTACTATGAAATAAATTACTTTGTAAAGTCTAAAATAGTAGGTCACATAAGAAATTCTTTAGTACATTCTTTATGAGGCACGATATTTAGAACCAGTGCAAAAAAAGATGGAATCGATCTACTTGTCTGGTCAAATTTTCACCTCTGGATCCTTCAGGGATATGTGAAAAAAAATGAATATAGTTAAAAAATTATTGTAGCAGTAGAAAGCAAATTCTAAATTTGAAGAAAAAAGGACAAGTGACTAAACAATAAAGTAGTTATGTTGATTAAATTTATTTTTCCACATATCCCTGACGAGGTCTAGGGGATGAAAATTTGATCAGACAAGTAAATCGATTTCGACCTTACAAAGCAGTTCGTTTCATAGCGCTTGAAAAGATCTATTGATAAAGAAGTGAACTACGCATTGAGGAAGTGTCATTAACATAATAATTAAATGACAAATGAAGTGAATATTGATAGTTCAAATTGAAAATGTAAGCAATAAAAAATTTGCATACGACTCAATAAATTCAAAGCATTATTTTAAATGAATGGTTCTATTATTCAAATGTCGTTTGAACAAGTACTATCAGAATAACTTTGAATCCCTCCTCTTCAATTTTATTTATTTTCTATAAAATGAATGTTCATATTATTGGCTAGTATCAAAAACTAACTATCCATTTACTATGTCGTGAAGATAGCATCTGTTCATAACTATAATTGAATCAAAATCCCTCGATTGATCTTTGATTCTATATATGGCTTCATTAGATTTTGACCTTGAAAATCAAAAGAGACCGAAATGCTTTTTGAGATGCCTTCGACAGACACTTTAGCAACGGCTTTCCATCGTCACAATATTGTAATTAATATCTTTCATCATCGACATGCATTAACAGTAGATAGTAATTCATAAATCGAAACATAGATTGAATAATCTCATCTTTTACAATATCATTGAACTTTTGCATCTTACGAAATACGAAAAATTTAAAACTATCAGCAGAAAAACAGATTGAAGATTCTGAGAATTTTGTGGAATATTAAATTAATAGAACATTATATTATTCATCAAAAATCCACGAAACCATCCTTCGCTTTTGTACGTGCTTACGTGTTTCGTATACATCTAGATTCTTTTTTTTGTTCGATGAGTATGTTTCGAAAGTGTGAAATCGTTTCTTCGAGTTCGCTACAAATCATAAGATGGCGCAATATGTAAGTACTCCTTACATAGTTACACAACAATGTGTGGGTTTGCACTAAAGTGCATGATAATCCCATAGGTATCTGTTATTTATATTATCCAACTTATTAATAATCACACATGCTTTGAAAAAGAAAAACGTGCGTTTTCAAAGAGTTGAATACTCTATGAAATAAGTATATTTAAAATTAGATACATAAATGATTAAGCCAAAACAGGCAATACAATTGTTGATTCTCAAGTTTCTCTGTAAATTTTAGTAGATTAATATATTGCATGATAAATGTTGAAATAGGCGGCAAACTATCTTGTTTTGCACACAAAGAACTTATTGTAAATTATGCAAAAATATATTTCCATCATGAAAACAATTTTTTTTTCTACTTCATGATCCTATTCATTGCTTATGTTTTTGACATTTCAAATGAATAATTAACAAGAAAATTATTACAAAAAAAAAAATCCAAAAGAATCTTGTCATTTTCAAAATTTATTTATAAAAATTTCTAAGACGATAAAATATTAGCAAAAAAACAAAAATAACCAGCAAATTATTGTGTCAGATAATAAAGAGTATACATCTATGTCGTTTATTTTTAGCTTACATGAAGTTAATCAGTGTAAAATAATGAGAACAGAAATAAACTAGTCATTTTTTAGATGAATATATAACTATGTTGTATCACTATTATATAAAGATCAAATTTACGAGTTATTGTACCTAACTATTTATTGTTCATTCTCTTATTTGGAGTCATCTTTTTTTGAGTTTCTTTTTATAATGCAAAGAGGCAGAATAATTAAGAACTATGATAAGTGTAAAAACTGGATATTACTAAGAAAATAATTTATTTCGAGTATTTAATCGAAATACTATCGGAAGTCATATCATCTTCTATAATCTTAAAATCGCATCAAGTCATATGTATGAATAAGGAATGTTATATTATTCATAAATTAACAAAAAAAGATTGAATTATTTTCTCTAGTGAAAAAGATATGAATACAACTGGAGATTTAACAACATTGATTTCAAAAAGTCCATCAACACCAGTTTCATCTCATACAATAACAACAACAGCACGTTCAATAACACCAATTCCATTACAAACAATATCCGATGTAACAACAAATCGTCATGCACATAATTTACTTGATGAAAGTGATTCATCATCACAATTGAATATTAAAATCGAACGAATTTTTGATGAATCAGTTAATACGTATGTTGATTGAATGTAAATTCTTTTAAGAAAAAAAAAGACATTTGTTTTTTTGATTTTAGTATATCACCAATACATCAAATTGATAATTTACCACATTCGCAACATAATCTTATGTATGATCTATTACCAAAACCAAATGATGGTATACCAATACCACGTTTTCCACCTCATATAGCTGCTTTTCTTAATGGTAATGGTGATGCTAATCAATTAAATGCTCTTGTTCAAGCATTATATCAAGAAATTGTTAAATATGAACTGTAAATAAAATATTTCTTTTTTCGTAGAAAATAATTTTTATTTCAAATATTTTAGTTATCCAAATGCAGATGAACTTCGTTCAATAGTAAGTCGTTTAGTTGATCGTTATCCACATTGTGTATCAGTTATTGGTAGTATTGAATTATTAGTTCGAAAATTATACTATAAATTTTGTAATGAAAGAAAAAAATATCCAATTGAATTAAAACGTCGTCAACCAAATAAAAGAAAACGTCTTATACGTGATGATGATTTAACTATGATGAATAATCAACAAATCTTCTTAGGATGCCAAACAAACATATCAAACGAACTTCAACATTCATCTTTAAATCGTCTTATGAATTTATGGACGACAACAACAACAACAACAAATGATTATAAAAATTTAAATCAACAACGTTCATCAAGATCAAGTTCATCATCAAATTCATCATCACCTATTTCAAATAATCTAGAACAAATAGATGAATCACAAAAATATCATCCAATAAATTTATCAATATCGACAAATAATAATAATCTTATGTGCACAGAATAGATTGACTTATGAAAAAGACATCTTTTTTTCTTTTTTCTTTTTTCTTTTTTTTTTTATTAAATTAGCTTGTCTGATTTGTCTGCCGTCTCTGCGTGATTTACTTTATTATTATTCTATTATTAATTGGCGGGGTTTAAAAAAATAGTTAAAATTTTTCTGTCGTGTTTGTCAGTATTTGGTAAAGTAAGTTTTATTTCAATCGTATTTTTCGGTGAAATGAGTCTTTACAAAAATAGATCATTCTGTTTTTATCATTTAATTCATATAGCGTCTTTCTATTCTTTTCCAGTGCTTCAATGTTTCTTGTCAGTAAAGAAAAAAAACACATGTTAATCTATTTTAACGTTTCACAATTGAATGAATAATTTCATGAATATATGACTATCCTAGTTGAATTATATAATGTCATGGTTGGCTGTTTCATTTTTATTCATAAAAACTCCAAGAGGGATTGTTACTATCAGGCAATCTTTTATAGAAAAAAAAAGTTTCTAACTTGGAAATTATCAAACGATCCTATTTCCGCTATTATTAAATTTTATTGCTGATGCATTACACGGAAGCAAATAAAAACGAGTAGTTTTAAAGTTAATGGAAAACCATTCAAAATTTCATAATTGCAATCGTAAGAATCTATTCTAACAGAAGAAATTCTTTAAAAAAGAAACAAAGTGTCTATTTCACATATATATTAAAAGCATCAATTATGTAAGTGTTCATGTAACTTTTGAAGTTCCTCGACATTCCTCTATTAAGTTTGATGAGTGTATGTAAAATGGAAACGTCAAGTTGAAATGTTCATGGCATCTTACTCGTCAATGCAGATTGTTCCTTGTGGGTGCATGTTTCCTTAATTATTTAGAAAGTATAATTTAATGTATTACAGTTCATATTTTTCATTCATAACAATCTATAAAAACTTTTCGGTTTAATAATATCTAAACGTTAAAGTTGAAGTTAAAATGCTTCGTATTCTGTGATAATAAAGAAAAATTTTAGAACATATTGTTTTCAAATATCACATTACTACAGTAAGATGGTTTTTCTCAACAAACTCTTTAACTCGTGTAAAATATCAAGATAATCTTTCATCAATATAAAATCGACCAACAAAGATATTTGAGATGAAGGTGTTTACAATAGAAACACATCATGTAAAACAGAAATACTCATGCAAGATATATATATATAAATATAGTCTTTTTTTTTCATTTATAGAGGACTGACATATGAATAAGTTTGTAATTAGAGAACTACGCTAGTCTAGAGATTAGTTTAGAAGATGAAAGAATAACATCAGTTTTCTTTTATTGAAATTCATAGATAAGTTTGTTTTTTTATTCCGTTTCTGTGACCCTTTCTCCTTGTTTCGAATCATTTAATATCTTTTTACTAATATATCAGCAATATTACATTGTTTATTTAAAAATATCTAATTTATGTATGAACAATATATCTCACCGTTGTCGTTCTTATTTTTCCTTTCTCTCTTTTCTCGATATGCTATTTCTCTTATATATATATATATACGTATATATATATTTTATTGTAGTGTTCTCTTTCAGAAACACTTGCAGATGTCTAAAACGTTTAGCATTACTATACTAAGAAAGATTATATTAATTTGATAGAAGTTTTTCTTTAACATATTTTTTTTTTGTATATGTTCTATTGAATAATATAGATGAAAAAAAATTTTATTTTTGATATTTAAAAATATGAATTCAAGTAATTTTACAAATATTTATAATGAAAATGATATTTTAATTAATCTGATGGAAATAACAAATCCATGTCCAAATCAACGTGCTATTTCTCGACCATTATTATTTGTTCATAATTATTCATTGTTTGTTTTTGGTTCAATATTAAATATTCTTGCATTTATTGTTCTTATGCAACGTTCATTACGTTGTCATTCAACATTTGCTTATTTAGCATTTTTATCTTTATCAAATGGTTTATTATCATTAGTACGTTTTATACAATGGATGTTAACATATTATATACATATATATTTTGAAAATAATTTATATACATGTCGTTTTTATCATTTTACATTAGATTTTTTAACACATTTTAGTTTATATACATTAATATGTGTTAATATTGATCGTGCACGAACAGTAACACAAAATCGACCACAAAGAAAATTTTCAAAATCAGCATTTCATATGGTTTTAATTAAAGAATTTATTCTTGCTATTATTTTATGTGTTTATCATTCTCATTGGCTTATCAAATTTGGTCATAAAGGTAATTTTAATTCGTTAGAAGATAAATATTAACGACAAAAAAAAAATTGAAACTTTACAGATTTTTACAAAAGTTTTACATCTGACATGAATGCTAAAGAAGAAGGAATCCTTATGGTTAACATCTGTCATTCCACGAAAGTGCTATGATTTTGTGAAATTTGATATTTTGATTCATATAAAAGAAAAAAAAAAAGATTCTCATTTTCCATAATGTTTCTTATCACAATTTCGCTATGGTTTTACCGAAAGTTGTCTTGATTAAAAAATCTTCAACTAGAAAAAAAAGGCGACAATAATTTTTCTCAAAAAGAAATAATAATTTGATAAGAATAAATCTGTGAAGTTAAATTATCCATTGATGCTAAACGAATTATATTCTATATGATAAAAATTAAAATAAAACTTAACAAACCAGATATAAAAGTACTGGACTTGTTTACTTACGAACAGAAGTTAATAGCTTTATAAAAAAAAAACATGTTTTCAAAGCCTAGATCAAAAACACACTTTTTATAATCTTCCTTGAATAGAAGAACATCCGTTGTAAAGAAAAGGTTTATCAAACTATCAAAAATTAAGTTTCTTTTAACTAATACGTGAGTCCTTACATTCTATCTAAATGCATTCTTCCATTAATGAATACATTTTTCAACAATGCACGTTGATTACGGCTCCGACGTGTTAGCTGTCGAAGGAATACGAGAAAAGCTTTTTTGATTTTTCATTCTATTTTTATATTAATTCATAACCTTTGTTTCCGGGACGTTTATCCTCCAATAAGCGCTTTATTAGAATCTTCATCAATAAAATATGGATTAAAATCAGATGCGATATCATCTTTACCATCATTCCTATACACTCAAATGTTGTAGAAGTCTTATGATTGTTTCTATAATGATTTTTTTTTTCTTGTTTGTAGTTTCTAATGGTCAAGTACAACAAACAATTTGTCATTATGATCAAAATCGAACAACATCAACATATTTTTATTTTCTTTCAACAATCTATCCACTATTCGAATTAATTATATTTTTTTCTCTTCCTCTTTTAATTAATCTTATATGTACAATTCTTATTGTACGAAGTTTACATTTTAAAATGCGTACAGCTAAACGTTTTACTCCAACAAATTCTACAACGAATAATTCACAACAAAAAAATCTATATAAACGAATTCAAGAAATATTTTCTTGTTTAATTCCACAAACAACAACTAAATCAAATATATATTCATGTTTTTGTTTTCAAATTCAATGTCGACGTCATACAGAATTACGTTTAGAAATTGGTCGAACTAAACAAAGTTTAATAAAATATGAAGAAGAAAATGATTCAAATGAACGACGACAATCAACAACATTAACAAGTTGTTTATCACAAGATGGTACACAAATAATAGCAACAACAACAACAACAACAACAACCACTTCAACAATATTAAATAAAAATCATCGTAGTAGACGTATACGTGATATACATTTATCGGCAATGCTTATTGCATTAAATATTTTATATTTAATATTTAATTTACCATTTAATTTTCATCAAACATTTGGAAGAAAATTTTATAAAAATAATACAGATGACTGTATTATGAAATTTACACATCTTTTACTTGATATATTACAACAAACATATTTTTCAACAAATTTTTTTCTATATGTTTTAACAAATCGACGTTTTAGAGAAGAATTTTATACTACAATCAGAAGATTATTTTCAAATCAACAACAATATTCATTACAAAAAAGTATTGAACGAAGAAAAAAACTAAGTTTAAGTAACAATGCATCAACAGCATTTGTTACTAGTTACAATAATGATTCTCAAATTAGTCCAGTACCAATTCGACAGAATCAAGATAATATTCTTTGTGATATAGAAGTATCACCAATACAACAACAAACAATTCTTGCACACTATGAAAACAATACAATCATGTCGAAGACAGTTATATACAAAGACTAATCAGATGGATATTTATGATAGATATAAACAGAATCAAAAAAGAAAAACAAAGACAAATATTTATCTTCTTTTATTGTAACCTTATATATTGTAATCAAGTTGTGAAATATAAATGAATAATGAGTGTGTGTGTTTATGTAAATTTCTAATGAAAGTAAAAAAAAAAAGAATCCTTCATCTAATACTTTGTAATCATTTAAAAAAGTTAAACAATAAAAGAAACTTTCATTGAACTTGATTTCACTTAAGTCATAAAACATGTTCAATGATGATGACATAAGTTTTAGCCTTGTCGCATAACATAAAACAGTCATTGTATTGCATGATAAAGTGTATGATGTACTATGACACAAAAAAAAAGTAGGTGAAGGGGAGGACGTAAAATGTGCAATTGGCCTTTTCACTTGTACAAAGTATACAGGAAGAGAAGGAAAAAAAAACCTCAAGTCATTTTCTAATAGTATAAAAAACGACACAATAACATAGACACATAAAAAAACACTTCAGAATGAATTAACTGTATAAAACTAAGTACAAGTATATTTTTATACGAAATTCTTTTTATTGAATTTTTAAAAAAAAAAGAAAAATTTAAAACAACAATTCAAGATTATGGCACATAGATCTCATTTGATTTGGCAAATATTTCAAGCTATTGAAAATAATGATGATGGACATATTTTATGGAATTTACTTGAACAAATAAAAATATTTGATGATGGAATAATTTATATGACATATGGTGGTGAAACACCACAATCATCAGCTGAAAAACTTGATCGACAATATTTATTGAAATTAATTCAAATACATCAAAAATTAACTTATATTCGTGCACAAATTTAATGTTAGATAAGAAATAAATAAACTTTGAACAAGAAAACAAAGATTGTACAGTTATATTCAAATACATTTTAAATATATATTGAATATTTTTTTTCAAGCATTTTGTATTATTTTTTTTTTATAATAAATAACTGTTTCTCGCAAGTGTCTATTGCAACAAGAACAGATCTTTCATTTAAAATATTTTATTCTATTTTACTATATTACTATCGCACAATCAGAATTTTTTCCTAGACTAGTCAGACATGTATTTATTTGGCTTAGAAAATCATTATTTTGTGCTCAATATAGTTTTATCATCTCTCAAATATCAATATAACCTGGAAAAGTCAAATCCGATAATAAGATCACCGTGAAAGATCCTTACCTCGAAAATCTATAACGCAGCTGTGTAACGCTCGCGTTGATACTATATCAGTGTTATCGAGTGGAGGGATATTCTATGGAAGTTTTGTTCAATTTGGAGTTGTGAAAAATTGTACAAGTGCATTATAATGCATACATGTAATTCCCAACAGATAAAAGCGAAAGTTTTTTTTTTCACGAATCAATAGAGTTAAAGATATAGTTTTAGATGATACATTTTTCTCAGAGACCGACATCGGATCCAAAGTAATTTTCTCAAGATGAATCCGAACTCGAACTAGTGAAACTCGGTACGATCTCTGGATGTTTTCTTCTTATGTTTTTAATTTACAGTAAGAAAAAGTCTTCTAAACTTTACTAGCGGTATTTTTCAACGAAGTTCCTCTGTTTTCCAACTAATGCTGATAAGAAGAACAAAAAACTTTTGTGTCATTAAATAATCCACAGGTGAGAGTATATGTAGCCGTATGTAAATTATCAGAAAGTACGCTTTCAATTTTTCATCTAATACTCGCAGTGCATCGTCAATTAGCTTTCTTATGAGTGCTCATACTAATTCACTGATACTTTTCTACTTTATACATTATACGATTATTCAAGAAAAAAAGAAAATTTCGGAGTTAATTAAATGAAAGAAAAAAATCAAAATCGATGTTCTATTATTTTGTGAAATATGACGTAAAAAAGAGTCTTGAAGTATGGACGTAGACATTTGGCCTCCACAGACGCGGTAGGCATATCAGCAATGTGTCATCACCGACACGACAGACACGTTAGCAACATTACTCCCTCGTTGCGTCACAGACTATAATAGATATTGTTGATATATGACGGCAGGCCGTATATCAATAACGTTTCGGTATAATTTATGAACTACTTCCTTATTGTATTTCTAGACCATTATGCAAGAGGATGATGAAGAAATATGTCTCAAAATAGATAAAATAAAAACAATTTTTCTGTGATTGGCAACATTAACTATATCGTATTTCACATTTTAATTCCGCAGAGATTGCACTAACAGCTTTTAGTTTTATTAATTTTACAAATAAAAAGTACCATGTCAAGAAAGGGTACTATGTATCTAAAGGATTCTAATTACGTAGTAGAAAGATAAGTTTATTGTAAAGTCATCTTCTAGCAAACGTTTTTGAACATAATAATCTCTGTACGATTAGAATTTAAAAACCAGTTGAGCTGCTTTAATTTTTACACAAATAACTTATACAAAGGTTTCTTTGTTTTGATATAGTGTAGTATTACTCCAGAGTCAAATGAGAGCATGTAAGACAGGCGAACAGTGTCGATACAGAGAAAGAGCTGTAAGGTTCAAAGAGGTCAAGGATTAAAATGATCAGTAGAAGGAATAAAAGTTATTTAGGAAGAATTAACAAATGCCCAAGATTTCATGAAATCTTTATACTTGTAATTTAACACAGAATCTCTTAAACCAATTATAGTGCGACACATCCGAACCTCTAGAACCTTTATATTTTTCTATAGTTGATCAAAATAGGCTACAACCTCAAAAATAGATAATCTTATGAGTTTCTTCAATTCTAGATTTTAAGTTGTGACATTTCGAAGCTAAATACATTTAAATTAGTATGTAAATGATCATATGAATGTTTGTAATATAGATGTCATTATATTTTTCGTTGATTCTTCTTTATTCTTGACTATTTCGATAACAAATGACCTTATTTGTTTTTTTAAAACTGTAAACGAAACAAGATTCATCTAAATAAATATAAATATATATTCACTTATTTTGTCCGCGACGAAAAGTCTGATCATCAATCAAACATCATCAACTTCGACATCCACAGAAATATTTTATTAGTAAAATAATTCGAAAATTTCGATGGAAATAAAAATAAAAATGAAGTTTCAAAGTCAAATTCATATTTGAACACACTCTAAGTATTGACATCAAGATACATTTTCATAATATTGAGCATATAGTTTTTACATGTATGCGGCATCCATACTGTTCTGCAATAATTGATGAAAGTTCACAAAACTTGTCAAACTGTTGGCAAAAGTCTGATTGACGAGGGTATTGGTATACTCCTTATACGGTCTTAATCACTTGTCTTGCTTGAAAAACGGTGATAAACAACAAAAAAGTGATGATCATTTTTCTTACCGTATCAATACTTGTCACAGCGTTTGAAAATGTGATTTTTATTGCATATTGTTAAAACGATTATCTTAGTCAATATATTCTACGTAAGAAGTATTGGTAAATTTGTTGGTACAAAAATTAGATTATCAGAAAAAACACACAATATGAATTTGTTGATTTTGGTGGTGAATTTTCACTTGGAAATTCTAACTTTTTAAATTGCGTTCGAAACTCGTATTACATGGTAAGCTAAAGGTTTTGACATACTTCCAAATATGAAATTGCAGTATCAGAGTTTTCTATCATCAATTATCATTTCGTTCGCATATGTTCTATTGAAAACTTATTTTAAGTGAAATAATACAATATTATTTATCATGAACTGTACAATACAATTCATAAATCTATGAAAAGATTTCTCGAATTATTGTTTTCAAATGACATGCAACTATCGTCGATCATATTCTCTAAAGTATCTGTATCTTACATTATTGATCAAAGATGTTTTGTAGGTAGTGTATGAATGGCGCATCAATTTTTGCGTAATAAATAAATTCAAATCATGTAAAACTTCTAGAGATGGTATCGAACTGAATCGATCCCATCTCTAAAAATTCTCATTGTGTTTAGAAATCGAATGAACACCATATTTAATTCAAGAACTATGAATAAATAATGAAACTCGTAAAATATTTATCAATGATAGAATATGCATTGACATAAAAGTCCTCACCATACGAGAAAGAAAGATCATTCTAAAATTCATTGTCTGATTTAAAACTCGCTCATAGAAACAATTTGCACAGTGTTATAAGCAGCAACAATTCAAAAGAGAGAGTAATATGGTAGGTTACCATTTGTTCGACAAATAAATATTATATAAATAGAAACAATCCTATATGCTTATTATGTTGTACTTAAGCAAATCGCTAATTGTGGCCTCCAGAAACAAACGAATTTCATCGGAAGGATACGGGAAAATCATCGTATTTAGCTAAAAACTCCGGAAATCGATGGAGCATAGAAGCAATGGTTCAAACCGGAAATCTGCTGATTTTTCCGGTGACTTTCAAACCTGAAATATTACTTCCAACGTTGCATCGATTTCCGGAGTTTTACGACCGGAACTGATTCGAATGTACTCACCTGAACAGCATTAATTATTTGAGAGAACGGAAGAAAAAAAAGAAAAATAAAGTTCGTCGAGGTGGAAATGAGCAAAATAATGTTAGAGAAGAAAAAACAAAGTCAAAGAGTATGTGCATTCAGGGAAAATTATTGAATAATTTGACATCGCTTTCAAGAGCACTGAGAATATATATTAAGATAATATGCATGAATTATATATGAAGTGAGTGTAGGATACCCAGATGAAAAAATAGGAAGCCCGTATATATTCCGTATTTCTCAGTATACAATGGTTCAGCATTACGATCGTATACTCTCTATGGCCATATTACAGAGTAAAATAGAAGATGTATGCAACTTCCATGTACAAAGCCAGTAAACAAGCGATTTTTATCGTCGTAAATTGCCCTATTTATATTTATACGACAAGAAGATAAACGATCGTAATACTGGTCGATGTGAATGGTCGTATTTCTCTGTATACAGTCGATTACGACCCTCCCTGTTTAATATGGATAATATTCAGTTTACAGAATTTCGTATTAATATTACTCTACTTATCTGGATTAGACGTGTATTGAAACCAAGGGATTCACTTTTGATTAATCCCTGTCTTAGTTTTAAGAGGAACATTTCCCGTTCCAAATGTTTTGGAAAACAGCTCTTAAAATTTTTTTTTGTTTTGGGGCGAGTAGGTCTTGATGAATAGATCAAAAGTCTCCACAGAATCAGAACTTCAAACTGTTTCTCTGCAGGTAGAGGTATTCAGTTACTGTTGGGTTACCCAGTAGCAAGTAATGAAAAAGCTGCGAGATGGATTTTTTTGAGTGAAGATAAACCTATTTTAGGAAAACAACAATTTGTCTTATAAAACTTGATTAAAGATTTTCCAGATCGAGGAATCCGACTCTATAGGTGATTTATCGAAGTTCTTGAACTTAATTTTTTTTTTCGGTCAGGAGAGATCACTTTCCTACGGTATAGACAAGTTTTATAAAACACCGTTATTTTCATCAACAGAATTTTTCCTGATCAAAAAATCGAATTCACAAATTTTGAGGAATTATCCATAGATTCGGATTTCTCGTTCCTAAAAATCTTTAGGCAAGTTTTATAAGGAATAGGTCTTTCTCATTAAAATACTTCTTCCTCGACCAGAAAATCAAATTGGCAAACTTTCGACTACCAGTTACCGACTAATGAAAGCGTAATTGTCCTCCCCTAAGTCCAATCGAGATTTATTAAGACTGAGAGTCTTGGTTTGTTTTCGGTCTCGATACAATCCAATCTAAGCCAAGGAACAGTTAAAGACGGAATAGTAAATATTCGTAGTTTTACAAAAAAGTTTTGTGAACTCCTCAATGTCCATTTTCTGCACTCTTGGAGAACTAGGCATCAGAAAAAATTGAGACCTTAAATGTAAATACATCTCGATGAGTGGAGTAAAATTTGGCAGAGACTTCGCATTTATCAGATGCTTTCTTCACAGAGATATGGAGGTCCCAAGGCGCCGGACTTGCTCCCGCATCTCCGCTTCTCTGAAGTGGTACGTTCATTTCAACTGAAACTTTTTCGTAGGTGCTAGTAACGTTTTCGGTCGCCTATATTTTTGGTTTATTTCTATTGCAGGTCTAATACATAGAAGACTCTCAGAAGTAAATGTAGAGCATAAGAAAAACAAAAAAATTGTGTCCGGGAAAGGGCAGGGCATCTTAGAACTATCTTTGTAATGAAGAAAAACAAAGAAATTAGTAGAGATGTAGAAGTTAAAAAAAAAAAGGAAAATAACAGATGATTTAGTACGCCCATTGAACAAGAAATTCATTGAATAGCAAAATGAAACTTCTCATAAAGTTTGTGTTCCCTTTTCTACAAAGAAAACGTTTTTCCAATGTTCACGACACTTGTTAACATAGACCAGTACATATTGTGCTGCTAAACAAGATTTTCATCGTTTCGCCTGTTCTACTTTAATCGTAATGAAACACTTAACGGTAAGTAAGCATAAGTAGATATTGTTTTTTTATATGATTTTTCTTTATCAGGAGTACAGAATTTATTTGAAGATTTGCATTTATTGATTTATACTATAGTTGTATTAAATTCTCTCAAGTACTTTGATCATCTATTTCTTATTCATCAATAAATAATAGGTTTTGTTTCGGCGATGATCTTCTTTCTTCAATTACTATTCTTTTATTCATATATATATATATATTTACATACATTGAATTATTCATTTTCTAATTGATCAAATAAATATTTATCTAGTTCAGACTATAGAAGTAATTATTTTAAATTCAACTATTTTATACATAGGATCACATGTTTTTTATTCAAATCGTCTTTTTCTGAATTGGGATTCATATATTTATTCAAATAATACTATAAAAAGATTATATTTACTATTTAAGTTTAGAATTGAATGATTTTTGTTATTTTGATTTCTTATCAATACATGAACAATTTATGCTAACACCATTAAATATCGATCAGTCAATTCGATTAAAGTGACGGCAATGTAAATTTTGACTAAAATTTTTCTTTACATCATTTGATCGAGCGTGAGCTGCTGATCACGAAAAATTTCAAAGTTGTCGTTTCTTTCAAAAAACGTATCTTTTTCAAAGTGTGCAAAATTTTCTACTTCATCCTTTTTCAGATTCAGCATAAAAAACTGAGTACAAACAAGTTGTTAAATCGACTCTAATCTCAAAAATATTTTTGATAGTGGCGCTTCGAATTGCAATGGATATCATATGTATAGGTCGATTTTGTAAACCTATCCAGTTTCTTTACGAAAGCGATGAAGTCGAATATTTTATCTCATTCGATGCATCCGTAACGCTAGTCACAAAAGTATGTATCGTGTTTTTTTCTTTGTTGACAAAAATCTGTTTTTCTGAATTTTGAACTAAATAGATAGAAATTGGCTCGTATTTCTCTATTTTCTTCATAAAAACTAAGCTTTCATGTAATAATCTTATCATATTCGGAATCAGCACGAAAAACTGAATCGATTGATATATAATTTAACCTTTTCTGTTGACTTCAGTTTTTTTTTAATTTTCAGAGAAAATCTGGCTGAAATTTTCACCAAAAAATGAAGGATAAGTAAATTTCTCGAAACATACATCAATCGATTCAGTTTTTCGTGCTAATTCCAAATCTAATAAAATTATTGCACAAGAGCTTAATTTTTATAAAGAAAATAGAGAAATACGAGCCAAATTCTATTTATTTAGTCCAAAATTCACAAAAACAGATTTTTCTCAACAACGACAAGAAAAGAAAAAAATGTAATGGATACTTTTGTGACGGAGATATGACGCCTCGAATGAGATAATATATTCAACGTCATCGCGTACGTAGAAAAACTAAATAGGCTTACAAAATCGACCTATACGCATGATATCCATTGCAATTCGAAGCGCTACCATCATAATATTTTTGGGATTAGAGTCTATTTAACAACTTGTCTGTACTCTGTTTTTTTATGCTAAATCTGAAAAAAAGGATGAAGTAGAAAATTTTGTACTTTTTGAAAAAGATGAGATTTTTTAAAAAAAAACGATACTTTTCAAATTTTTCGTGATCAACAGCTCACGCTCCATCAAATGGTGTAAAAAAAAGTTTTACTCGAAGTTTGAATTGCTCGCACCTTACAAACATTATTGATATGTTCACTAAATAAAAATAGTTTCTTACTCTTATAATATCATAGTTTTATAGGTCAAACGTTTACCATTAAATGTTTTTCTCTGATTAAAATTCATTTCTCATATCAGTTTCATTATGATGTAAAAAATTAAAATTTTTTTCATAATATGACTTGTAAGTCATTTTCTATTCATCGATTCGTTAGTGTAAAAATGTCTCTTTCTTTTTCTTTAATGCCTAACTATATAGACGACGACCATAATCATTAGAAAATGAACTACAATAAAAAAAAGAAAAACATTACTGTTCTTTCTCCCAGCGTAATACTGTTAGGAAACAAAAGATAAACCAAAAAGAAGAAATTCATTTATACAATATTAAAAAGTATAGTTTAACAACAAATATTTGTATTGTTTTCTTCATGTGTTTGTTATGCATGGCACACTTCATAGAAATTTAACTAAAGAAAAAAAAAATGAGTAGACATAGTTGTTGCGAAGAACAACCACTACAGAAAAAGAAAAGAAAAAAAAAATTAATTGCGTGCTATATAAAACCCAGATGTAAAAGTACGAGCATGCCATCTCATTATTTCTTCTTGTACTTGAGGATTTATTTTTGCTTTCCATTATCTACATTTAAGTATTTTCTATTTGATTAAATACACAATGGCTGATGAATGTTATTCACAACCATTAGATATTGAATCTTCAACTGTTCTCATTACTGGTGGTTCAGGTGGTATTGGTTTTGGCCTTGCACGATGTTTTGTTCAAGCAGGTGCTACTGTTATAATAACAGGCCGTCGTGAAGAACAATTAAAAGAAGCTGTTGATGAATTAAATCGTATTGGAAAGAAAAAAGTCATCTCTCATATTAATGATGTTGAAAAATCCCATGAAAGACAAGCTTTATATGAATGGATAATCTGTGAATATCCTCAAACAAATATTCTTATTAATAATGCAGGTATTCAACAACGTTCTCCATTTATTCCAAATGAAATAGCATCAGAAAATATTTCCTGGGAAGAACGAGAAAAAGAAATTCAAATAAATATATCTGCACCAATGCATTTATCTCATTTATTTATAAATCATTTTCGAAAAATGAAAACAACAACAGCTATTATGAATGTATCATCAGGTTTAGCTTTTATGCCATTAGCATCAGTACCAATTTATTCAGCAACAAAAGCTGCTATACATTCATTTACAATGAGTTTACGTTATCAATTAATGAACGAAATAAAGAATATTCAAGTTTATGAAATCATACCACCAGCTGTACAAACAAATCTTGGTGGTAGTCATGCATTTGGTGAACCACTTATGGAATATTGTCAAGCAACATTTGAATGTTTAAAAAAAGGTCGACAAGAAATTGGTTATAAATTTTCAGATGAAACAAGAAAAATGACTTCACGTGAAAATGCCGACAAATATTTTATCAAGTTTAACGATAATATGCACAAAACAATTCAAAGTCAAAAACATTAATAAATTAACAAATTACTTTCTATTTTTAACTTTTATCTTATATAAGAAAAAACCTCATTTTGAGTTATTCTACTTTTTTTAAATTGTAGTGTCAGTTTCAGAATCTCTTTTAGTTTCTTTTTCTTTGTATTTTTTAAAATAACTGCACTTTCTCCAAAAAGCAATAGAAAATTAATAAAGTTGATGGTTTTTATATTTCAGTTTTAATTGATAATGAATACAAATATGAAAGTAGAAATAAAGAACTTCATAAATTCGAAATACCTTGAAAGTCACATGAAATTCTTCTTATAATCAATAATAAGACAAATGAACTTAGCCAAAAAACAACTTTTATTTTTAATTATTTCTTCTCTCTATTTTAATTATTTAAATGTTGGGTTGTGCTAGCACTTTTAAATGCATGAATGTCGCACTCTAAGTATTTCTTACAAGATTCAAGATTAAATGTGTTGCTTATTCAGCTTCTTCATGCTTTTTCTTTTGCTAAAAACAAAGTCATCTTTGTTCTTATTATACTTAGCAAACTGAATAGATAATATATAAATCAAACAATTACGCACTTAAAAAAATGTGCTTTCAACTTATGAATTCATCCTTAAAAATATTAAATAGAAAATGAAAGTTTAATATTTCAATTAGACAATTTTAAGATCATTCAATTTTTTTTTGTGAATTTAATTAAATTCACAATATTTTGAAGTGCGTAGAATACAATGAACAATTCTTCATTCCCTTTTCTAGTCAATATGCAAGAAAACGGGATACAAAACAAAAATGTATTCGATAATCGATTAAAAGTCACAATTTCCAATAAGAATGTCTACTTGACCACAAAAAAAAAGTTGTCCAACGCATTTTTCAATCAAAACAATAATTCCTGAACATACTGCATTGGATTTCATATTTCAAATGTCATTTCGAATTGAATATTTCAATAGAATCATGTGTCATTATTGAATTTCAAACATATATATATATATATAATGTAACTAAACAATCAAAATGTGGAATTCTATACAATTAAGAAAATATCTGGATAATTCTTTTTAAGAATTTTTCATATTTGTAATAACTTATTCATGATATTATATCGTAAAAACAATATATATGTTTATATAGAAAAAAAAAAATATTTTCTAAGAAAAGAGTATTATTGAATATAGAATAAAAAATATTTTCTCGTGATGAAAATCCGAAAATCCAATATAAATGATATTTATTTGTAGTCTTTTTTTTTTCTTTTTCTGTGTAACACTCAAGTTGTTGCTATATCAAATGGCATTCTTTGCATTTCACACATTCATACAACATACAACATCAGTTTACTTGATCACGCAATCATCAAGTAAAATGCCGGTATTCCTACTGGTTGCAATCGTTTCTCCCGATCTCTCTCACTAGACTAACTATCAGCCATTGCTTCATTCGTCTGTTCTTCTCTTTTTCGCAGCATGCATATACACCCACTCATTCTCACATCTACCTGTGTCGAGAACACGGACAGACAAAAGAGAAAAGCTGATGCCGTATGCACGCTTACAGTCAGCCTGTCGACCATTGCTTTCGGGAAGCATCTGAGGAGAAGATGATAATCATCGTTCGATTCTTCGTTCGCTTATGTTCTTCTCTCGTCTATCCATCTATTCCTCCGTCCGTCCATACAATGTGATGAACGGGCAAACAAATGCATTGGCTTTTAGTATATATATATATATATATGTGCGTGTGTGTGCGTGCTTGTGCGCTTCTATCCTTGCAAGCGAGCGGACGTGTTCTCTTCCTCGGCATACGCACCAGTATAGAATAGTAATAGCAGCAGCAGCAGCAATCTAGGAGATGGGCGAACGAATAAAAGGGTAGGGGAAAAAGAGAAGAATTCATTCAGTAAACAACCCACTACAGTAAGGGTTATAACAGTAACGATTGTTACTTGTTCGAAACAAATACCATGCATACATTTTTATACAAGAAAAAAAAAATATACATGTAAAGTAAGCTTGTATTATTTTCATCCATTTAAATGACTAACGAATTAATTGATTAAGATCATTTTCATTAGATAATGTTTATTATTAATTTTTTTTGTGAAGGTTTTTTTTTTATAAAAAAAATAATAAAACAAAGCAACAAATAGAAAGTTTATTTAATCAAGTAGACGAAGAAAAAAACAATGGTTGAATAACGAAAATTTATACTAAAGATTGTATCAATAATGATGGAAAAAGGAATATTTTTTCCCATTTTTTTTTTGTCAGCATTAAAGGACATGTGATCTAATGAAATGAGGGCGCAGGAAGTCGTAGAAAATGAGGAAAGAACGAGAGACGAGAAGAAAGAGATTGGTCAAAATAGAAAGGTGACATGATGTGTTAGATAGTTACTGTTCTTCTTCTTGTCTTTATTCATCGTTTTTTTTATGTCCACTTCGAGTAATCGATTGATTGATATAGTTCTCTCTTTTTTTTGCTGTATTCTGATGTATTACGCATTTTTTTCTGATTTTATATCTCTTTTTATAATGCAAAAGTAACGGGTGATGTATATGATTTATGGTTGTCTTTGTGTGTCTGGTAGAAAAAAACCAGTTGGCCAAGTCCATCTTTATTACATGCACTCGTTTTTTTTTTCTTAACATAGACAGCAATACTATTTGTGTGCTATTCCTTTTCATCATCATCATCACTATCATCATTATATGATGTTAGGCATGAGTACTTGCTTTTATTCTTCAGGCAGCATCTATAGTTAAGTCGTGCATATGCCCTTACTTGCACTCTCTTCCCAAAAGCAAAGAAGAAGAACAGGCAAGAAATTGACAATGTTGCTTCCCGTCGAAGCGAGCTGCAATAGTTGTCGGCTGTGCCAGAGCGCATTGCGCGCGAACCTTGGCAGACATTCTAACTATGCTCGTTCGATGTTGCATACGAAGGGAAAGAGAAGAAAAAAAAAAGAAAGACTGAGGTAACTACTAAGGTATGTGTCTGTTGTTTACTTGGAATAGAAAGAAGAATATGTACACAAACAAGATATACAAAAATCATATTCATTTATTTATTATTTTTTTTTTTTTGAAAAAAACAAACGATATACATCTAAGAAAATAATATTACTTTGTCCATACTTGTTCTATCTGTAACAAAACAAAAAAAAGATTCAAAATACATAATCTATCTCCTACTGCATGTCTTGTTGTTTTGTCTGTCTCTCCCAACATGACGCACATATGTCTATTCTTCTTTTTTTCCTTCTTCTTCTTCTAATGATAGACAACGGCAGTATACACGCGCACAATCATTGTATTCGAAGGGAGGGGAAGAGAGAGAGGCAGTAATCTTGTCGACGGTCAATTCTATTTCGTTTTCGTGATTTCTATTTCAGATAAAAAAATGATGATGGATACTACTGACGACACAGATGGTACAGCATTTATTTGTCCTGAATGTAGTTTCAATGGCACAAGTTTGCCAGAATTAATTAGTCATTTGAATGAAGCACATAGTGAAGGTTTGTTTATCGATACTATCAATCATCTTTTTTTTTTTTTTTGGTAACTTTTTCTGTATTACATTTAGAAACTGCCAGTAAAAGTGAAGCACCACCAAAAAATGTATCCTTATTACCAAATGAAAAACGATCGAGACGTAAACCGGCATTTAGTCATCAAGTATGCTTTTAAGCACAAGATTTTTTTTTTTTTTGCTCTAAAATTATTTTGTTCTGAAGATTATTTCTCAAGCACCACGGCAATCATTACCAATATTTAAACAATCAAATGTCGATCCAGGTTTTTCTTCTTTATAAAAAAAAAAAACAAACTTATAAATTGATTTGTTTTTTGTTTGTTATTTAGGTTCTATTCATTTTTGGAATCGTGTTATTACAGCAGATAAAAATGATCGAAGATTTACCGAGGTTTCTTTTTTTTTATTTGTATAAAATTTTAAAAGAATTATTTTATTTTAAAATTTAGCCTGATATAATTCGTAATGAAAATTTTTTACATTCAAATCTTAGTTCACAACGACCAATAGCACCAAAAACTACAAATAGTCCAACAAAATCAATTAATTCAACTCCTATTCTTACATCACCTTCACTTTATTCTTCAACAATACAACCAATTCAAAAAAATTTTCAATGTCGAATTTGTCATTTAACTTATAAAGTAATTTCAATTATAAAAAGGAAAATATTGTAATTTTTAATCTTTTTTTTTTTTTTGATTTAATAGAATTTTCATGATTGTACAGCACATATACGTCGAAAACATGAAATAAGTCATGCACAAGCTGGTCGATATGTTGGAAAACTTGATACAAATGTACCATTACCACCATCAGCAACTGGACATTATAAAATTCGTCTTAAAGTTAAATCTTTACCTCCACAACCATCACCGACAACAACAGTTGAAAATTTTACAAAAACATATCAATGTAAATATTGTTCATATACAACATCTTGGTTAAAAGATATCTCACAACATGAAATACAAAATCATAGAAATTATTCTACACATACACAAGAAGATATCATGCATAATAATAATAATAATACTAATAATAATAATGATAATGGTTTATCAGCACTTTTAATTGATAATATACAATCATATGGTGAAGTTCTTCCAAATGGAAATGATGAAATGATTATGATCGAAGAAGATATTGATGATGATGAAGATGATGCGTATGAAAATCTTTTCTTTTTTTTTTTTTGCTTTTTGAAAAAATAAAACAAACTTAATTTTTATTATTTTAAGTCTTTGGAAATATCAACAAGAAATCAATAATTTATCTGAATCAACATCACATAATAAAAATTCATTTACAAAATCTTTCAAAAAATTTCAATGTCCACATTGTGAACATTCGTAAGATCAATATATTTTTTTTTGTTTATCATCTTATTGATTCTTTTTTTTTTATTATTTTAGTTCACCAACATTAACTAAACTTAAACTTCATATTGCAACACATATTAATATTAAACCATTT